TGTGTGTGTGTGGTGTGTGTGGTGTGTGTGAGGGGATGTATGTGTGTGGTGTGTGTGTGGTGTGTGTGAGGGGATATATGTGTATGTGGTGTGTGCGAGGGAATGTGTGTGTGTGCAGTGTGTGTGTGGTGTGAGGGGATGTATGTGTGTGTGTGGTGTGTGCATGGTGTGTGTGAGGTGATATATGTGTGTGGTGTGTGTGGTGTGTGTGAGGGGATGTGTGTGTGTGTGGTGTGTGTCAGGGGTTATATTGTGTGTGGTATGTGTGTGCTGTGAGGGGATATATGTGTGTGTGGTGTGTGTTAGGGGATATATGTGTGTGTGAGGTGATATGCATGTGTGTGGTGTGTGCGGTGTGTGTGAGGGGATATATGTGTGTGTGGTGTGTGCGAGGGGATGTGTGTGTGTGCAGTGTGTGTGGTGTGTGTGAGGATATATGTGTGTGTGTGGTGTGTGTGAGGGGATATATTGTGTGTGGTGTGTGCGAGGGGATATGTGTGTGTGGTGTGTGCGAGGGGATGTATGTGTGTGTGCGGTGTGTGTCTGTGTGTGGTGTGCGGTGTGTGCATGTGCACATAGTCATGTTTGGGGTGTGGTTCTCAGGCTGTATGCTGCGGTAAATTCTCTTCACCTGCTCTGACTATTCATACACACATACATGAGTGGTTCTCATGCTCTGTGTACATATGAATAGGTGTGTTCTCTGGAAGATTCTCCTCCTGTTCTGTGTATCTGTATGTGAACATTCATGTTGATGAACGGTTTTCCTTACTTCCTGCATGTGTAAATACATGTGTTTGGTGGAAGATTCTCCTCACACTCTGTGTATGTTATGGGAGCATGTAGGCCTGGTCAGCAGCTCTCCCCGCATTCTGTGCTGGGCATGAACATATAACTTTGGTGGCTGATGCTCTTCATGTTCCATGCATGAGAGCACGCACGTGTGTATGTGCCGCCCAACGTTGATCAGGTGTGCATGCAGTGGCCCGCATGTGCGTCTTGGGGAGTGGGGGCCCCTGCTCACGGTCTTGCCGGCATCATCCTTGCTGCTCAGCAGGGCTTCCATCTCTGCCCGCAGGGCCCGGTTCTGCCGCTCCAGCTCCTCACGTGCTTCCTGCTCCTCCTCCAGCGCCCGAGTCAGTGACAGGGCCCGAGCCTCGCGCTCCCGGCCCTCCGCCTCGACCCGCTCACGTTCCTCCACCGCCCGCAGTACAGCTGCCTTCTCCTCTGCCAGGAGCTTCCGGGTTGAGGGAGATGGGGTGGGGGAAACAGATTAGCTGAAAGGAGTGTACAAGTGGATGGGAAAGAGGGAGCAGCCAGGGACAGAGAGAGAGAGGGAGACAAAGGCAGAGACACAAGAGGGAGGTAGAAGGATTAAAGTTGCAACTGTGTCCCAGACCAGCCCAACTCCTGAGTGGATCAAACTGATGAGCCCCTCACTCTAGAAACCCAAAAGAGGAAAGGTTATTTCTTCCTCCTGGGGTAGTGGTAAAAAAACATGTACATAATTTTTAAAAATGTACTTCAACCTTTGCTGTTTTTTAAGACACAGAAATTAGCAATAATAAAACTTTCAAGAACTGCCAAGAGGGAAGAGAACGGTGCTCATGGTGAAGAGAAAAACCAGTCCATGGAAACAGACCAACAGATGACCTCCACACTGGGATCATCACACAAGGACTTTAACAATGACTAGTAAACTTCAGAACCAGATGGATACAGTGGGTGAAGACCCAAGGTTATTGCAGGAGGGATTTGAAACTAAAACAGAACCAATTAGAGAGGCCAGGACTGAAAAGCATGATATCTGAAATCAAAAAGTCATTGGAGGAAACCGAAAGCAGACTTGACAAATCAGAAGAACCAGTAAACCTGAAAGCAGGTTGATAGACATGATCTAAATAGAGAGGGAGAAAAAAAAAAAGGAAAAAAAAAAGACTGTAAAAAAATTAACAGAGCTATAATAACATGCAAGGCAGTATCAAGCAGTCAAACACACAGGTATTTGGAGTCCCACAGGAAAGGGGGAAAAAAAGGAAAGGAAGATGTGAAACTGTCTTCATTCATAGAAAACAGGGTCACTACTGTAGAAAATCCAATGAAATCTATAAAAAAAATCTGCTAACACTCATAAGTGAGTTTAGCTAATAAATTGTAGGATACAAGATCAATACATAAAAACCGATTGTATTTCTATATACTGGCAATCAGAAACTGAAATAAAAACCAGAACCACTTAATTTAAGCAATCCCTGTACCCAGTGCGGGGCTCGAACTCATGATCCCGGGATCAAGAGTCGCATGCTCTTCTGACTAAGCCAGCCAGGCGCCAAAACCAGAACCACTTAAAACAGCTTCGATGATATGAAATGGTTGGAAATAAATCTGATGAAAGATGTACACTGAAAAGTACAAAAAGGGGGCGCCTGGGTGGCTTGGTCAGTTAAGTGTCTGCCTTCAGCTCAGGGCATGATCCCAGGGTCCTGGGATCCAGTGCCGAGTCGGGCTCTCTGCTCAGCGGGAAGCCTGCTTCTCCCTCTCCCTCTGCCTGCCGCTCCCCCTGCTTGTGCTCTCTCCCCCTCTCTCTCTGTCAAATAAATAAATAAATGAATAATTTTTAGAAAGTACAAAAAGTAAAGGAGATCTAAATAAATGGGCACATGTACCACATCCCTAGGCGAGAAAACTCAGTATTATTAGGATATCAGTTCTTCCCAGATTAATCTGTAGATTCAACACACTCCCAGATCAAGAGGATTTTCTTTCTGTGTGTGGAAACTGACAAACAGATTCTAAAATACATGCGGAAATGCGAAGGACCTGAAAGAAGCAAAACAACTTTGAAAAAGAAGAAAAGATTGGACAACTGGTGCTACCTGATTTTTAATATCAATGCAAGAATGAGTCAGTAAAGAAAGTCTTTTCAGGAGTGTTTGCACAATTCAACAGCCATGTATAAAAAATTAATTTGGAGCCATGAGAGCACAATATAAACAAATTAACCCAAACTGGATCACAGACCTAAATATAAAACTGCAAAGTAGAAAATTTCTGTAAAAAAAAATAGGAAATCTCTGTGACCTTGGGTTAGGCAAAGTCTCCTCAGACACAACGTTAAAAAGCACAGCCCACCAAGTGACAAATTAATAAATAGGACTTCATCAAAATTCAAACCTCCTGCTCTTTGAAAGACTATGAAGAGCAAAAAGTCAAGCCGCAGACTGGACAAAAATAGATGCAAAGCAATACATCTGGTAAAGAACTTGTATTCACCATATATAAAGAACTTTCACAATTCAATAATAAAAGAAACAACCCCCACCCCCAAAACAAAACAAAGGAAACAACCCAATTTAAAAAAAATGGGCAGAAAATTTGAACAGATACTTCACCAAAGAGGTATACAGAGCAAATAAGCACATGAAAGATGCTCGATGCCACTGCTCATTAGGGAAATGTGAAGTCAAACCACCACATCGTATTAGAAAGACTAAGGTTTTATTCATAATAGCCCCAAACTAGAAACCACTCAAATGTTCATCAACAAGTTAATGGTTTTCAAAATGTGTTCTATCGATACAGGAATAATACTCAGCAATAAAAAAAAAAGGAATAAATAATTACTAAAAAAATTTTTTGTTTTATTAAGTTATCTCTATGTCCAACGTTGGGCTCGAACTCACGACCCCAAAATCAAGAGTCACATGCTCGACCAATGGAGCCAGGCAGGTGCCCCGAGGAATGAATTATTAATCCATGCAAAAACATGACTGAATCTCAAAATAATTCTGAGTGAAAGAAGCCAATCAAAAAAAGAAATTTATATGAGAAGAATTTATATAAAATTCTAGAAGAAACAAAGAGAGCCTTGATAATCGATGGTACAGTAGTAAGCGGTCAAACATACATGTGTTTGGAGTCTGAAAAGAAGAGGAAAGACAGAATGGAGCAGAAAAGATATTTAAAGAAATAATGGCCGAAAATTCCACATTTGATCAAAAACATGAACCACAGCTGTGGGATAAATACAAAAGCCCACAGCTGCATATATCACAAACTGCTAAAAACCAAAGATAAAGAGAAAAAATTTAAACCAGACAGGAAAACATAGATCCCCTACAAAGATACAGGATTTGAATGATTGCTAACTTTTCATCTGAAACAATGGAGGCCACAGAAAATGGAATGATCTCTTCAAAGTGCTTAAAGCATAAACTGTTTGCCTAGAATTCAAGAGCCAATGATATATCCTTCAAAAATGAAGGCAAAATAATGACTCTCCCATTTTCTAGATGAAGAAAATAAGGCACAGAGAGGTTGGGCAATTCATCCAAGCCACACAGCCAGAAGGGGCCAAGCTGGGATTTGAACCTCAGGGTTGCCTGATCTTAATGCTGTAGGGTCCTATGATTTTTATTTCATCCTCAGATTGCCAGATGCTTAAGATTATCCCCATTTCCCAGATAGGCAAACTGAGGCTGAAATGGGAAAAGCAGCTTGCTTGAGGTACACAGTGAGTCAGCAGGAGGAGCAAGATGTGTTATTTCATTTATTCCTCATCAGCACACTCTGGTGCACCTTCAGGATATCTTGTGGAGTAAGAGTAGGTACGACCAGGGCACCTGGGTGGTTCAGTCAGTTAAGCCTCCAACTCTTGCTTTTGGCTCAGGTCACAATCTCAGGGTCAAGGGATCAAGCCCTGCGTCAGGCTCTGTGCTGAGCGTGGAGCCTGTCTGAGGTTCTCTCTCTCCCTCTCCCTCTGCCGCTCCCCCTTCTCACACATGAGCACCCCGCCCAGTGGGTACTACCAATAATTATTTTGGGACAAGAGACATAAACCAGGATGGATGCGGAGCCTATTTGACAGAGGCTTAGAGGGAAGAAGCATCTTGCCCGATGGTCCCCCCAAGTTCACAGCTGAGCCTCAGAAGCGCAACAGAGCACCCGCACTTCCCACCCGGGAACCTGAGGCGCCCCACCTGGTCGAACTTGCGCTGCTTCTTCTCCAGCGTGCTCACGAGCTGCCGCTGCTGCTCCAGGTCCATGATGGCATCGTCCAACTCCTGCCCCAGCTGCCGGCGGCCCCGCTCCAGCCGCTCCACCGCCTCGGTCTTTTCTGCCAGGCGCTGGGCCAGGGCCTCGGCCTCGCGGGCTGCCCGGCGCCGCGCCTCCTCCCCAGCTTCTAGTGCCCCTGCCTCCTCCTCCTGGCGCCTCCGCCACTCTGACAGCTGGGGAGGGGGTTGGGAGGAGAGGGTGGGTGGCAGTCATGGCTGCGACCAAGGCGTGAGCTGGTAGTGCCCCACTTCCCAGAGGAGGAGACTGAGGCTGGAAGAGGGAAGTGACTTGCTGCACTGGGTTCTTCTGCCTTGGAGTAGGGCTGAGGTTGGGAGTTGTGTGAACCTCAGCTTCTTCAGGAGATGAAAATTACTCCCACGGGGACCCAGAAGATGAATCAGACCTGGACTCCACCCTGGGGAACCTCCCTTGATGGGGGGGAGACTGAGCATCATGGCCAGGGTGGTGGAGGCTACGGTAGGAGAAGCATGGGAGCCGTAGGTGCCCACAGGAGGAATTTAGAATCTGTTTAGAACATTCAAGAGAGACTTCCTGGAGGAGGGGGCATTTGAGATGGATCCTAAAGTATGCATAGGAGTCTGCCAGTTGAATAAGGATATTTACAGGCATGCATTCAGCACTCATTCATTCAACAAGCATTTCTCCAGGCCTCCTATATGTTAGGCTCTATGTTGGCCTGTGCTGAAGACCAAAATCTAACTCTGAGAGGGTCCCGCTTTCAAGGAGCTCCCATTCTGGTGGGGGGGCCCATGGGCAGAGACAGTTCCAGCCCAAGGTGACTGGAATGGGGATGAGGAGAAAAAAGGGTGTGGGAGCTCAGAGTGGGGCAGTGAGGGACCTCCCACAACAGGAGAGGCTGATACTGAGTCCTGAAGAATGAAAAGGGTTTCTCGTGTGAAGTGGAAAAGGAGGTGAGGAATAACACAGCTAAAGACACGGAAGGGCCAGCAAAGGCAGGGCTGAGAGGCACAGGCTCTATCCTGGGGGCACGGGGAGCCAGGGAGAGCTGTGAGCAGGGGAGGAACAGGAGAGGAGCAGGGGCAGCTCTGTGGTAGAAAGACCGCCTGGAGGATGAGCTGGAAGGGGAGAAACTGGAGGCAGGGAGGTCTGAAGGGAGGCTGAGACGAGGAGCCAGGCGACAGAGGATGAGGCCTGAGCAGGTCTAGGTCTGTGTAGATGCAGAGCAGGGGTGAAAGAGAATCGGGGGAGGAGGGGTGGGCTCTGCACTGACAGGCTGTGGGCTGAGGGAGAGTCAGAGATGAGAATGGGGGTCTCCTGGGTGTCTGGCCTAGGACCAGGTGGGCAGTGGGGCCATCCCTGAGCTGGGGAACCCAGGAGGAGCGGGTTGGGACCGGAAGCCCCTCGAGGTCACCCTCCAGGGCTGCTCACCTGGGCCTGGGCAGTCTGCAGCTCGCGGCCTGCCCGCTCCCTGGCGGCCCCCTCCTCCTCCAGCTGCTCCCGCAGCCCGGCCACCTCAGCCTCCAGGGTTCGCGCCCTTGACCCCAAGGCCAGCTTCGCCCTGTTCTCTTCCTGCAGCATCTCCTGCAGATGATGGGGAAAATGGAAGTCAGGTGAGGGCAGAGGGTGGGGAGGCATGGGGACCGGGGTGGGGAGGGGGGCTGGCCTCACCTGGGCGTCGTGTAGCTGGGCCTCCGAGCTGCTCAGCTCCTTGCTCAGCCTGATGGCTCTGGACTCGGCCTCACTCAGGGCCCCAGACACGTTCTCCAGTTCAGCCTGCGGGGAAGGGGCACCTTCCAATGGCGGCTTCCACCCGGTTGACCCCAGCCGCTCCTCCCCCTCAAATCCCTGCTACACTGGGCTGGTGATGATGATGTCAAGTGGGGTAGCTGCTGGGGAAACCAGCCTGGTGGTTCCTCAAATAGTTAAACGCAGAGATTCCATAAGGCCCTCACTCTCCAAGGGAAGGAAGCCTACTGGTTTCACACACCAATAGTGCTATTCCCAGTTTATATAAAGGGAAGCTGAGGCACAGAAAGGTTACAAAATTTGCCCAAGATGACACAGCTACCTGAGGTAAGACTGAGCCAGGCAGACTGGCTCTACAGCTGTGTTGTCCAAAATGGTAGCCACCAGCCATACATGGCTACTTAAATTTTAAAAACTAAAATTAAATAAAAGTAAAAATCCATCTCCTCAGCTTTGCTCCCTACATTTTGAGTGTTCAGTGGCCAAGTGGATCTGATCGTGCAAATACAGAACATTTCCATCACTAAAGAAACTTCTAGTGCTGCCTGGAACTCTTGCTATCAGCCACCAAACTCTACTTCTGGTGTCACTCTTATGTGTGTGATATGTAAAACATTTAGTACAGTGACCACTAGGTAGCATGATTCCACTTGGGGCAGATCCTGGCTGTCCCCACAAATCCACTCTGCCCTGGTCCCACTATGACAGTCTCTTCACTAGGCCTGTGGCTAGTGAAACTACATTTCCCAGCCTCCCTTGCAGCTAGCGGTGGTCACGTGATTATGTGATGGCCAATGGAATATAAGCAAAGGGATGTATGCAAATTTTGTCACTCCCTCTCTTTTTCTTCCTAAACAGAAGCATGGATGTGCCCATAATCCAGAGTTGATTCTGAAGATGAGGGCAACGCTCTCAGGGACAGTGGCATGACAAGACCAAGGAACCTGGATCTTAAGTGACCTTGTGGAGCACAGTATCCTGCCAGCCTCCACTGCTTACCCTGAGTCTTTCTCGGGAGGGAAAGACACATGTCTTTTACTTAAGCTGATGGATTCTGGGGTGCCTTTGTTATATAGTAGTTTAGCTTTTACCCTAACTAATACAGCATTTTAATCTGGAAACGAACGGTAGTGGTGTTTTCCCCTAGAGGAATTGGACAACTAAAAATCATTCCTCCTGGGGCCCTTGGCTGACTTAGTTGGTTGAGCATTTGACTCGATCTCAGGTTTGTGAGTTTGAGCCCTGCACTGGGTGTAGAGATTACTTAAAAATAAATTATTTCTTAAAATTATTTTTTAAAAAGTCATTTTTTCCTTCATTTTTTTTTCTGCTTCTTTGTATTCTTAGTAATGCATAAGTATCAGCCATTTAAAGAAACACAATAAAATTAAAATGTAAAAGTCCACATTTCTTTTAACCGTCACAGTATGATATCATCCCCACACAGTTCCATGTGTCCAAACGGGGCTTTTCTCATCAGAATACAGATTATTTAAGGCTCCTCAGAGGGTGAGGGGTCATGGTAGGGTTAAGAGCTATAGGGTCAGGCATGCCTGGGTTCGAGTTTTGGCTCTGAGGGATCTTAGATGATCAGCCTCACCTCCCTAGGCCTCGGTTTCCTCGAATGTGAAAGGGGAACAATATTAGGAGAGTCAGGAAGATTTAATGAAATACATAGGATAACTGATATAAAGTAATTGCTCACCGAATCCCAGCTATTTGTGTGTGATCATGCTGGAAGAGTTTGAAAGGACAACAGGGCTGTGTGGACCAAAGAGAAGCCCACAGAGGGTCCCTGCCCTGGCCGCCCCACTCACCTGGACTCGCTGAAGCTTCTCAGTAGCCTCCGCTCGAGCCCGCTCCCCGTCACCAGCCCGGCCCTGCACCTCCTGCAGCTGGGACTCCAGGCGGCGTCTCCGCTGCTCGCCCTCATGACGTGAGGCCTGCAGGCTGCTCAGCTCCGACCGCAGCTCAGACACTTCGGTCTCCAGGGCCAACCGGGTCTTCTCCCAGGTACCTTTGCTCTGGCAAGGAAGAGAGACAAGTAAAGATTTATGCCTCCTCCCTCAACCGGACTGGGCACCCTCCTGCCTCAGGGCCTTGGCACTGGCTATTCCCTCTGCCAGCCCTCCAGGGTCCCCCATTCCTGTCCCAACCCACCCTCCGGGCCTGTTCCAGCTGCTCCGTCAGCTCGCCCAGAGCCTGGCCGTGGCGCTGCCTCAGCTCCTGCACTGCCACTTCGTGAACACGCGTCTCCTCTTCCAGAGCCTTCTTCAACTCTGTCACCTCCTGTTCCCTCTTGGACCTTTTGTGGAGGGAACACGATTTCAGAAGAGAGAAAGGCAGGGACTTTGAGGAAGTGCCTCATTTTATTGTTTCCCTTCAAGAATGAGGACCTCACTCTACACTCCCTAAGGGATCTGGGTGGTAACCGAGGGAGGAGTGTGGCTTTAAGGGTGAGCTCCTACTCATCTTTCAAAACCCTATTCAAAAGGCCCTTTCTCAAGGACGCCTTCCTGGACTCCCTCCATAGACGTGGTTTAGGGGCTCATTCTTATCATCCACAACGCCCTGTGCTGCTCCCTTAGAGCAAACTTTATTCTGGATTGGGTCCCTTTGCCCGAATCTGCCTCCCCCAGACTGGGAGTCCCTGAGGGAAACGCCTGGGTCTGACCCATCTCTGTCCCCAACCTGGCCGAGGTGCAGAGCCAACACTCAATAAATAACTGGTGAACGGCTAAACCTCTGTGTCAATGGAGGGCTCACACCAAAGTCCTCCTCCTCTCCCCGCACCCTGCCCTGCCCGTGCCCAGGCATTGCCGGCTGCCTCACCGGAGCTCCTGCTGCGCGTTGGTGGAGTCTAGCGTGTCCTCCAGCTCGCTCCGTAGCGCTTCCAGCTCCTCGCCCAGGTCCCTGCGCTGCTTCTCTGCCTTGGCTCTGGCCGCCCGCTCGGCCTCCAGGTCCTCCTGGGCCTCAGCCAGTCCTGCTTGTGCCTCCCGCAGGGATTTCAGCAGCAGGGCCCGGGCACCGCCCTCCTCCTCCACCCTGGGGGTGGACAAGGACCATGGAGTGGGTACAGGGGCCGGCAAAGGGCAGGGATGATTTCTGGGGGCGGGAAGGCCAGGTGGATTTGGGGGTGGTCCATCCCAGGCTGAAATCATAGCTCTGCCCTTGGGCGCATGCCTCAGTACTCAGAGCCTCAGTTTCCTTAGCTGTAAAATGGGCATGACAGCAAGAGTAATCACAGGGACACTTACTGAGCCCCTGCCACAAGGGACCCTTTACTTTATCATCTCATTTAATGATCACACCAAATGAGAAAACTGATGTGCAGAGTGGGAAAGTCCTTGCACAGGTCACAAGGTCAGCGAGTGGAAGAGCTGACCCCGGCATCTGATCAGTCTCATGACCCCGATGATACACATCCTCTTGCAAAGAGAAGCTGAATTGAGGGGCAGCAGTGGCTGGGAGTTAAATTGCTCACAGAGCCACGCAGACCGGGGTTTGGATCCCCTGCTCTCCAGACCGAGCAGGGAGCCTGGGGCGGGGCTCGATCCCAGGATACTGGAATCATGACCTGAGGCGAAGGCAGACGCTTAATGGACTGAGCCACCCAGGCATCCTTTAAAGAACACTTTCATACTTCATCCCCACACTAACTTTAGGAGTAGCTTCAAAAGCACGCCCCTTTCACAAATGAAGAAACAGGCTAGGGAGGCCGATGGCACGTGGGTGAGGTCAGGTGGCGGAAAAGAGGCGGGGCCAGGTCTTGAACCCAGAAGTCAGATGAGGGCGCAGGTTCTTAACCACACACACACCCCACGCACCACTGATTATAAGACACACATTTTTCCACATTTTAACATCTAAGTGGAGCTGCGCCTATAATCAAGGGCTCTCGGACGGGGAAAAGACATTCGCAACACCGAGCGCACACAGTAGGTGCTCCATAATTGTGACTGGCTGTAATCATAATGATAGGATTCCTTTCATGGCTGGAGCGCTTATGAAATCACAGCTGATCCCCTATTCCGACCGCGGAACTGGTCAAGTTACTAGACACGCGGGGCCTCCTTTCACACTTCCCTTAATCCGGCGGTCTTGGAACTCTCGCCAGGTCCAGGTTACAGAAGGGGCCACTGAGGCTCCGCGGGGCTGAGGCGCATGCGCGCCGGTGGAGTCTCCCCGCGGCGCCCTTCCCGCGGGCAGGCCACGCACTGTGGGTGGCCGGCCCCCTGCCCCGCGCACCTGGCCAGGGCCGCCTGCAGCTCCTCCTCCTTGCGGCCCAGCTGGGTGCGCAGCTCCTCCCCGCGCTGCTGCTGCTCCGCCATCTGCTCCTGCAGCTCCGAGCTCTCCCCGTCCAGCCGCCGCTTCAGCTTCTCCAGCTCCTGGCGGCCCTTCTCCTCCTTCCGGAGGCGGTCTGGAGGCGGGAGTGGGGGCCATGCAGAAGGGCGCCAGACCCCACGCCCAGCAGCTCGCCGACACCCGCGGCCCCGCCCCCGGCACTGGCCGGGGTGGGGGTGGCGGTAAAGCTGTGGCTCAGCATCTCCTGTGCTCCCTCTTTCCAGCTTCCCTGACCCTGGGCCCGACCCCCAGGTGCTGTCCTCTCCTCCTCACTCCCAAGTGACAGCCCTGCTCCCGCTCAGTGACTGTCTCTGCCCTGTCCTCTCCTCTCCTGTCTCCACAGCCTTCTCCTGCGCTCTCTCCCTTCTGATTCTGAGTCAGTAGCAAGGGACAGTGACCACAATGTGTCTGAAACAGTGGGACAGAGAGAGCGACCCAAGACACGGAGGAGAGAATTGCATTTAGAGTGACAGAAACAACCTAAGAGCTGGGAGGACACCCAATCTGCCCTAAGCCTTCTTTCCTGCCCCCATTTAGCAGATAGAACCACTGAGGCTCCACAGCACGCGACGTTCACCCAACGTCCCCCCTCCCCCACCGCCGCCAAGCATGCGCAGTGCGGCTTCCCACTGGGGGCGGTGCTCACCCTCCATGTCCACAATCGTGGCCTCGTATTTGAGTCGAAGCTTATTGAGGCTCTTGACCTTCTCCTCCTCCTCGGCCGCCTGTGACGAGAACTCGGCCAGACGCTCCTCCAGCAGTTTCCGCTCCTGAGGGTGGTGGGAGGTGGGGGCGGTCAGAACAGCCCCCTCTCAACGTTGGCACATGTCTGGTGCCTTCTCATCTGCATTTCTGCTCAGCTCCACCCTTCCCTGAGCCTCCTGCTCCGGATCCCAACCTTCCTTCCCCATTCTCTTGGGTCTGCAGACATCCCACCCTCACGAGTACAAACGTCGTAACTACAGGCTAGACTCCCATTATTCGAAGAACCCCACCAATCACTAACACACCATCCCACTCATGGGTGCTGAGGTTCATTCCAAATCATGTGCGATTATAAACAACACTGCAGTGAACATCCTTGTCCATCCGCTGCATTCACGTGAGTTCTGGATCCCTACCACCCAAAGTATGGGTTTGCGGACCAGCAGCAGCATCAAATGGGAGCTTTTTTAGAAATGCTTTATCTCAGCATTTCCACCCCAGACCCGCTGAATCAGAAGCTGCATTTTAACAAGCTCTCCGTATGATTCTTGGGCACATTAGCATTTGAGAAGCACTGGCCTGGAGCAGTACTTTTCAAACTGTGAGTGGTTCTGGAAACCAATGTAGTGTGTTGGCACTACCCGTGGAAGGAAAGAAATAGAACAGCGTAGAATGGAATAGCCATTGTACCAGAAGGAACATTCCAGAAAACTCCTGTGCATCCTTGACCTCTCAACTCAGGTATCATTGCCTCAGATAAGCCTTCCCTGACTACCCCGAGGACAGGTGAGGCACCCGTCACCCCCCATAGTCTTTTTTTTTTTTTTAAGATTTTATTTGACAGAGAGACACAGCGAGAGAGAGAACACAAGTAGGCGGAGTGTGAGAGGGAGAAGCAGGTTTCCCGCTGAGCAGGGAGCCCCATGCAGGGTTCGATCCCAGGACACTGGGATCATGACCCGAGCTAAAGGCAGCCACTTAACTGACTGAGCCACCCAGGTGCCCCCCTCCATACTCTTCTATTCTTTTCTGACAGTTTAAAATTAAGTCACAATTTGTGGTTATGTTTATTTTCTGTGGTGTCTTATCCAGCATCCCTTTCCCCCAGCCCCCTGTGAGGACATAAATGGTTTTCTAGGTTAGTTCAATGCCATATCCCCTGTGCCTAGCCCAGTCCTAGCTGTGGCAGGTAAAAGATGGTGGTGGGTTCTTTGCCATGGCCCCAACCAGGGATGGAGCCCCACCCCCTGAATCTGGGCTGAGCCTATGACTGCTTTAAGCTCAGTGGTCTGCAAACCACAGTGTGCAGGCCAAATCTGGCCCACCATCTGTTTTTATAAATAAAGTTTTATTGGGACACAGTCACACTCATTCGATCATGTACCATCTGTGGCTGCTTTCATGCTACGTCGGCAGAACTGAGCGCATGTGACGGAAGCACAGAGGCCTGCAAAGCGTGAAATATTTGCTATCTGATCTTTTACAAAAGATGTTTGCCAATCCCTGATCTATAGAATTGGGCACAAGTGATTCCGTGTCAGTTTCAGGCTTAATACTTTAAGGGGCCTGGATGCTTCCGCTTCCCCTTCTCAGAACCCGGAGCTGCCACGTAAGAAACCCACGCTCTCCTGCGGGGACAGAAGCCACATGAAGGAGCACCAAGACGGCAGACATCCACACCCGGCCCCCACACCACAGTGACTGCCTCCGAGAGCCACGGAGCAGCTGTACGACAGAGCCCCAGCTGACCACAGAAGGATGGGATATAATGAGATGGTGGTGGTCTCCAGCCACGTGGCTTTGGGTGTTATGATCTACCAGCGATGGGTAATGACACACAGTAGTTGCTCAATAAATACCTGCTCGGGTGAAGGTGTGACAAAGAGAAAGTGAAGGGAAGAGCAAAGGTCGAAGGGAGACACAGCTGAGACCGAGAGCCCGAGACCCCTAGGGGTGGCGCTAGCTGGGGGAGATGCTGAGAGAGACCCCCCCCCCGCCATGCACCACAGCTCCCTGCCCCTGGGGGCCTACAGGCCACCGACCTTGCTCAGCTTGGCATTCTGATCTTCTAAGAGTAGCAGGTCTTCCTCAAATTTCTTCAGCTTCGCCTCTGTGGTCACCTTCTCCAGCTGCAGCTTCTGCCGCGCCCCCTCCTCGGCCTCAAGGTGGTTCTCCAGCTCCTGGAGAGGGGAGGGGCAAGGGATGAGGACCCAGGGTCTGGGGGCCATCCTGCGATGGGAAGGACGGGGTGGAAGGGATGGTCCCAAACCCCCGAGGGCTTGTGGCTCAGACAGGTCCATGCTCTGGGCGAGGCTGGGAAGGAGCAAAACTTTACTGGCCTTCCCGTTTCATTCATTACCCCTGAGCCTTCCCTGAGGGCCCCGTGTGTGCCAGGCACTGTTCCAGGCACCTAAAATAGATACACATCTTTGTCCTTATAGAAATGACATTCTTGTGTGTGCGGGAAGATTATAAACAAAAAATATAATAAACACATCATATAGACAGGCACTGTCCACTGTGGCAACACGTGGTGTGAGACTGGAAATTAAGATTCGATATTGGGTGACAGCGTGGAAGGATGTCAAGGGCATTGTGCTAGGTGAGATAAGTCAGAGAAAGACAAATAGCGGATGATCTCACTTATGTGTGGAATCTAAAAAACAAAACCAAAAACAAAACACTGAGCTCATAGGTACAGAGAAGAGATGAGTGGTTGCCGGGGGGCAAGGGAGGGTCAGTTAAGTGGGTGAAGGGGGTCAACAGATACACACTTCTAGTTACAAAATAAATAAATCCCGGAGAGGTAATGGACAGCATGACTGTAGTTCATAACGCTGTATTGTATATTTGAGAGTTGCTGAGAGAGTAGATCTTAAAAGTTCTCATCGCTAGAATATTTGTTCTTGTTACTATGTAAGATTATGGATATTAACTAGACTTACTGTGGAGATCACTTCCTGATATATACAAATATTAAATCCCTATGCTATATACCTGAACTAATGTTATCTGTCAATAATACCTCAAAAAAAATTTTTTTTAAATTTTAAGTAGGCTTCACAGCATGGAACCCGACACAGGGCCCCGTCACGATCCTAAGATCAAGACCTGAGCTGAGATCAAGAGTCAGATGCCCAACCAACTGAGCCACCCAGGTGCCCCAATAATACCTCAATTAAAAAAAAAAAAAGGATTCAGTATTAGGTGCTGACTTGCTATCTGGTATTGGGAGGACCTATAACGGCCTACCCACACATCCTCCTCCTCCTACCTGCTCTGCTCCCATGGAGAAGGTCCACTGGTCACGTAACACTACACATCACGGGGACCAGGCACAGGGCCAGCTTCTGCCTACATAGCGGACTTCAGTTGCCTGCCAGCCCTGAAATTATTCAAACTAACCGATCACATCTCCCTGTAGGAACCAGAGGTCACCTCATCCTTTTGTTACTACAAAGCCTGTCTCCCACAGCTGTGGTCTGTTCATTTTATTCCTGAGTGCAACCCCTGTGTGGCTCTCTGTGGCATGGTATCAGGTCATCTCTGTAACTCTAGGGCAGGATCCCTCCCCCACATACAGGATGAAGAGGAGGTGATTAAAACACTTACTGAGCTCCTGAAATGTGGTCAGTATGACTGAGGAACTGAATTTTCAAACTTATTTAATTTTATTTATTTTAAATTTAAGACCAGACACTCACTTAATCACTGGAAATTTTTAAAGTATGTTTGGCATAACTTGGGTACTTCAATCTACTTTTTTCAAGTGAAGAGGTCATAACACATAAATGCAGATGAATACTGCCAATGAAAGTTTAGCATCTGAATGAAGATGTAAAGCACACAGTGGATTTTGAAGGGGAACCATGGGAGGGTAGCCTGCCTGGGAATACAGCAGCCTAGAGGCAAATGGAGCCAGGAGATGGAGAGAGAAAGAGCACAGAGGATATCACCTCAGCACCTGGATCCAGCCATGCCTGAAGCAGAATGCATAAGCGTTCTGGAGTCTCCCATTATTTGAACCGAAGAAGTATTCTTTTGGCTTATGCCACTTTGAGTTGAGTTTTCTGCAAATTCATGGTCCAGCGAGACATGGTTTGGAGAAGCAAAGGTTGTCTGGGTAGACAGAAGGGCATGGGGTGAGGTGGCCTGTGGGCACACAGGGGCCTGACCTGTATATGCTGCTGCAGCCTCTTCTTGTCACTCTGCAGCTGGCGGCTGCACTCCTCCTCCTCACCCACGCGGGCCTCCAGCTCTGCCACTACCAGCTCCAGCTCCTGCTTGCGAGCTGCCAGCCGGCCCCGCGTCTCTTCAGCCTCCGCACACAGCTCTGCCTCTGCTCGGAGTTGCTCTGCCAGGCGGGTGCGCTCCTCTTCCAGCTGGGGACAGGGTGGGAGGTCAGCACTCAGCAGGCAGTGCTCCCAGGGCAGTCTCAGTGGAGCACTCGGCCCCTCCTGCCTCCTGATTTGCTTTGCCCTTTAGGGCCTGGAGGGCTTTTCTCCAGGTCCCCATCTCGGGATGACCTCAACCCCCCCGCCCCAGTCACCAAGTCAGACCCCTGGGTGCCACCCTCTCTCCCACCTCCCTTCACCTCCCTGCAGCTTGGGCCTTCTCCTCTCCCCGTGGACTCTCTCCCCAGCCTCCCCCCCTCCAGTCTCTCCCTCTCCAGTCCACCCTCCAAATAGCCCCCGAGAGGGCTTTCTACCATCTCACATTTCATTTAACACTCCTACGCCTAGAGATTTAACCAAAGGAAATAACTCAGTAAAAGCAAACAGGAAAATGCTCAAAAAGGGTTTTGCTTCAGCATTACTTATGAGACACCAGAAAAACTGGACAATGGAAAGCTCACCGCCTGCCTCCCGTCGCCCTGCCACAAGGCAGGCCCCTACCCTGCCCCTCTCGGAGCCCCTCTCGGAGCCCAGCCGCCTGAGCATCTCGGCTCCGCAGGAACAAGCACCCGCCCCCCCACCGTCCAATTCCCTGGCTGCACCCCAGGGCCCTGCCTCCTGCACGTCACAGCCCACCAGCACCAAACGGTCTCGGCCTGGATCGGGGGGCAGGGGGGTGCCCAGCACACCTGAGCCCCCACCTTCCCCCTCCCCCCACGGCGACCGCGGCTCAGCTGGGAGCCCCGCCCCACGCCCTGGCTCCGCCCGTGGCCCCGCCCCACCACGGCCCCGCCCCTTACCTGTGCCAGGCGGCCCTGGAGCTCGCCCACCTCGCGGGCACTCTGCTGCTGCAGCTCCTGCACTTTCTGTAGCTCCTGCACCCGCGCCTGCAGCACCTCATCCTGCCGCGTCACCTGCAGCAGCGGCTTCACCTGGTGGTGGGGGGGGGGCAGGTAAAGGTGGGAATGGCTGGCTCCACTTGGCCCAGGAGCTGAGTAAGCACTCACACCCTGAGCCGGAGCCAGTGGCAGCTCCGGAGCTATGTGGCCTCCGGGGAGCTCGCTAATGTCATCTATCGAACAGGGATGGGAACAGCTCCTGCGCCACGGGGTTTTCGGGGTTTTCGCAGTGGGTGAATGAGCTGACACTAGTGAAGAGCCTAGAGCAGCCCGGGGCAAAGGCAAGACGCACTAAACGTGTTCCTTCTTCGCGAAACTAACCCTAGGCGACAAGAGACACGGGCGCCGCCGTTCTGTAGCACAGTGTCCCTCAAAGTTCCCGAGTCCCGGGTCCGGGGTGAGAGATGCACTTTACGTGGTTTCAGGTCGCGGGACACGTGCCACACAACATAATCAACTGAAAGGACAGGCTCCCCCTTGCTGAGTGGGATCCCCTCTGATCATTGCTGTCCCACTGCTTTCTGTTTGGTTCTTCTCGACTCAATTCGGTTCTTTTTCTAGAGTATCGTATTCTCTTCTGCCCTAACTCATGGCATTTAACACAGCCACGATTTTATATTTATCTGTGAGACTCATTTGCTGATGCCGGTCAATGCCCATGCCCACGACCTGGGGCAGGCCAACTTCCTCCTAAAGGGCCAGCTTGGAAATGTTTGAGGCTTTGTGGGCCACCCTGTCTCCGTTTTAACAACTCCACTCAGCGGCTGGAACGCAAAGCCAGTCACAGATAATGCGTTAACCGATGGGCATTTACAAACACAGGTGCCTGGACCAGGCCACACTTTTCTGACCCCTGCTCTAGACTGTGGGCTCCATGGGGCAGGACTTTGCTTTTATTCACCATTTTATCACGATCCCCCCAAAAGTAATTGGCACATATTAGGTGCTCAGTTAACACTGGCTGAGGGCACGTAGGCTGACTGCTCCCACACCATATTCAGAATTACACTGAATGGCTGGGTTTTTTGCCTCCAAACTTCGATCTTCCTTCCTCCTCTCCAATTTCCCATTGGGGGAACACACTGCCCCCTATGCTCACAGTGGGCCCGACCACTGGGCTCTGCCCCTCTGCTCCGGGCGGGCATGTGACACCAGCCTGGCTCATCTGATGTGTCCTGACGAGTCTTGGGGTGGTCACATGACCCCAGCTGGCCAAGGACAAGTCAAACCTGGGACTCTGGCTGGAGCTTTGGGATAGGAGAAGACCGTGCTGGCCTAGCTGGTCGGGGGACAAGTCTCAATGGGCTGGTGGCCCCCATGTGGAAAAGCCTAGAGGTGATCACCATGAGGAAAAGCCAAATGGGAGACACAGAAGGTCAGATAACTGACATCACTGTTTGGGCCCTTGTGCAATAAAGGGTTGACTCAGCAGGCCTGCATCGTCCAAACCCTGCACCTTTCATAGAAAGGCCTGGCCCTTGCGTGGCTCCTGGAAGATAATCTGTAAGCTCTTGGAATATTCTGACTGATAAAAGCGACTTTGTTACCTGGGTTTCTTGGCCCCCATGGTATCAACTTGACCTCTGGAGGGGCTGGAGACTGAGTAAGATCAACCACATAGGGGGTCAGCCATGCCTATGAGACTGACCCCCCAATAACAAGCTTGGACACCGAGACTCAGGGGAGCTTCCCTGGTTGGCAACAGCCCATATATGTTGTCACACATTGTTTCTGGAAGACTTAAGCACTGTCCACATGACTCTGTGTTGAGAGGACAGCTGGAAACCTGTGCCTGTTCTCTCCCAAGCTCTGTTTGGTGCACATTTTCCCTTTGCTGACTTTAATCTCTATCCATTCACTGTAATAAACCATAACCATGAATAGAACAACTTCTCTAAGTTCTGTGAGTCCTCCTAGTGAATCAGTGAATCTGAGGGGGTCTTTGGGACCCCTGACTTAGCCCTGGATCCAGCTGTTCTTGAAGCTGTCCTGAATCTTTTACTCATGTTGGTTTGAGTCAGATTTTTTTGGTCACTTGCTACACCAAAGAATCCTGGCTAACAAAGGTTGGGCTGATTGGTCCCATTTTACAGATGCAGAAAGCTGAGGCCCAAACAGAGAAAGCCACTTGGCCAAGCAGACTTGGCCCCAAGGTGCTGTCTCCTTGCTGCTCAGACCACTTCCCCAGGCGCCCTCACCTTGATGAAGAGCCGCCACCACTGCCAGTGTCTCAGCTTGAGGTAAGCGGCACAGTTCCTCTGCATCACCCTCAGGGCACTCTGCTGCTGCTGTCGCTTCTGGAAGGCTCTGGGTGGCGAGATGGGCAAGTGGGAGAGTGAAGCTCAGCCCCTCCAGGCCTGTCCCCTTCGAGAGAGAGCACAGCTCCCTTCACTTAGTCAACCATTGTTGAGTGCCTACGTGTGCAAGCACTTTCTATTGTTGGGAGATCTTGTCGCGTATAGTCTGTCAGTCCTTCAGCCTTTGACTCTCTCTGCTCTATCCCCTGCTCTCTGTCCACCCAACCCTAGTTCAGGCCTCCTCTTCCCCCACCTGAACCCTCACACCAACCTCCCACCCTCTAATCTCTTCCCTCCAGTCCATCCCCAACCTGCCTTCCGAGGGGGGTCTTTCTACACCCAGAGCTTACCCTCCCCTCCCCTGCTCACAGCCCTCCCATGGCTCCCCAGCACCCCTGGACAAGGTCCCCACCCCTCAGCCTGGTGTTTGGGGGAGTCCTTTGTTCTCTGATCCTCCCTCTGGGCCATTTCAAGGGGGAAGGAGACTCTCCGGCAAACTTCTCACATTCCTGAAACACATCAGTCTCCCATATCCCTGGGTCTTTGAATCAGCTGTCGCTCCTGCCTGCAACACCTGTCCCATCCTCCTTTGTCTCTCTGGTCATCAAGTGGGACCTGGAGGCGTCCTGGTCTGCTGTAGGGTGTCCACACTACACTTGGACGACCATCAAAGCACATCCCACTCCAGACTGTGATGCTTTGTGCCCGTGTATGTCTCCCCCTCCAGGGTGGAGTCTCTTGAGGCACTGGCCAGTAGGGTGACCACTGTGCCCTGTCTGCCCAGGGCTTTCTTTGTTTTAGCCCCGAAAATCATGCATCCTGGGGAACCTCCAGTCCTGAGCGAGGCAGGATGGTTGGTCACCCTATGGCCAAGACTAGCTCTTCTGCGTCCCCAGCACCACTCAGCACTGGACCTGGTCTATATGGGCCCTCGGGGACTGTAGAATCAAGAAGCCTGGGCATCTGGTGGCTCCACCCCTTTGTTTCCCGGCCCCTCTACCATCTCAGAGGTCCTGAACCCTGGAGCCATCTGGTCAACCCTTCCCTACCCCCCCCAGCCTTGGCCAACAGGACCCAGGAGATAGCACGGTGCCCTACCTGCGAGCTAAGTACCCCCGGGCAGCTGCCTGGAAGGACACGATGATGTCTGTGACCTTCAGGTCCCGCTCCTCTTCCAGCTGGGCCAGGACCCCTGCCCGGAAGAAGATCTTGCTCTGTCCCACACGGTAGAGGTTGGGGTCCAGTTCTAGGGCCTTGATCTGTGAGGGGTGGGAGAGGGGTGATGAAGAGGAGGGGCGAGGAGAGGGAGGTCCCGGCTCCCCTGTGCCACCGCCTGGGACCCTGCACGTGCACACGTACACACCTGCAGCTCAGGCTCTGCCCCACACTCACCATCTTCTCGCAGGCCTGTTTCCCATCCATAAAGCCCTTGGGGATGGCATTGGGCGTCAGGATCTCGTATCTGCCGGGCGGAGGGGAGGGGTGGGTGGGGAGTTACAGCACACCTGTCACTGAGCTCCTGCCACGCACACAGAGCACCGCACACTGGGCTAAGCGCGTTAATACCACCCACGACAGCACTGACCCCAAGAGCGGTCACTCCTTGGACACTCACTGTGTGCTGATCGTGAGTGTTCTGTCACCCCACCAGCACCACCGAGATGCGGAACACAGGTGGGTCTCAGATTGGAAATGTGAGAATGCCTGCCAATGACAGCTGATGTCTCTGAAGACTTATTATTGGTCAGGCCCTGAGCTAAGTGCTGTGCAGCAGCTTCTTCCCGATGTCTAAGCACAACGGAGAATGAAACGGGATACAGTTCATAAACACATATGTGCGTGTCCTCAGAGCCCTTCCCCTGCTGTGCCCTTCCTTGGATCTCGACATTTCATAAAATATCACTCATATTATGTTTACAATACATATATTCACACATGTGTATCATATACATAAGACATGTCCTATATTAATATGACATATTTTATGACTGGTGATTCACAAGTGTGTGTGTGTGTGTGTGTCTGTGTGTGTATCAGTGTTGCTCAGTCACCAGGGGCGGGCTGTTAAAATGCAGATCTTAATTCAGTAAGTCTGCGATGGTGCCTGAAAATGTGCATATCTAATGAGCTGCCCAGTGACGCTCATGCTGCTTGTCCCGGGGACCGCACTTTGAGTAGCAGACTCAGGGCTGCACTGTCCAATAGAGAAGCTACTGGCCACATATAACTACTGAGCCCTTGAGATGTGGCCCAGCCATCTGAGGAACTGTATTTTTAACTAATTTATTTATTATTAAGATTATTTATTTACTTCTGAGAGAGAGAGAGAGAGCACAAGCGGGCAGGGAGGGGGCAGAGGGAGAAGCAGACGCCCCGCTGAGCAGGGAGCCTGACGTGGGGCTCGACCCCAGGACTCTGGGATCGTGACCTGAGCCGAAGGTAAGACACTTAACTGAGTGAGCCACCCATGTGCCCCAGGAACTGGATTTTTTAATAATTTTTTTTTTTTAAGAAAGAGAGCACACGCGTGCGTAAGTGGGGGGCTGGGGGGAAGGAGGAGGGTTAGAGGGAGAGGAAGAGAGAGAATGTCAAGCAGGCTCTACACCCAGCACAGAGTCCGATGCTTGCCAGATCTCACGACCTTGAGATCATGACCTGAGCAGAAACCAAGAGTCGTAGGCTTAACGGTCTGAGCCACCCAGGCGCCCCTATGACTTGCTTCTTAAACTCTGGTATTTTCTGTTCTATCCCTTTCTATTGCATTTGTAAAGAAATGCAGATCGCCACACACGGATTGCCGCATAAGGCAATCTTTCTCTTGGGGAGCAACCTGAGCGGGGTCCTGCTCTCCCATTCCACAGAGGAAAAAGCTGAGACAGGAACCAAAGGAACTTGCCCCGACTCCCCAGACTCAGAAGTAGAAGCGGGGGGATTTGGATGCAGATACGGGGGGCGGTTCCAAACCGAGCCGCGCCCCATCGCACTCACCGCTGCCGGAACTCCTGGAAGAGGATGCGGTTGGGGAAGCCCTGGCGACAGATGCGGATGCCCTCCAGGACGCCGTTGCAGCGCAGCTGGTCCAGCACCAGCCGAGGCTCCAGCTTGCCGGCCTGCGGACAGCGGGGAGGGACACGCGGGGTCGGCGGCGGCCACACGGGGGCGCCACGCACCGGACGGCAGCCGCCTGGGGAAACCAGGACGGGCCCTTCGGAAGGGTCAGAAATCCTTGGCCATTTCACACGGGTCAACCTATAATTTACTGAGTACCCACTGCTTAGCCGCAGGGAGGGCAGGGAGTGCTGAATTTGCACCGGGCATAGTTGGGGAAAGGCCTCACTGGGAAGGTGATGCATAAATAAAACCCATACATCATTATTTTGGAGTAGCTAACTTTTGTTGCCTCTTCCTTCCTTCCTCCCTTCCTCCCTCCCTTCTAAGAAAAAACCTGAAACAGTACAAAAATTCAAACTCGACATTCTAAAAGAGAACTCTTGCCTTGTCCAGGCCCCCAGAGTGGGCAACACAATCCCCAGTTTCTTTCTTGTTTTTTGTTTTTTTTTTTAAAGTAGGCTTCACGCCCAGCATGGAGACCAACGGCCTGGGCTTGAACTCATGACCCAGAGATCACCCTGAGATCAAGACCTGAGCTGAAATCAGGAGTCGGACTCTTAACTGGCTGAGCCACCCAGGCACCCCACAGTCCCCAGTTTCTCATAGAACTTTCTAGATCAGTTGTTCTCAACCCTGGCTACACACTGGCACCCTCTAGGAAGCTTTAAAAAAACACACACAAAAAAAAAACACACACACCAAAAAACCAAAAGTCCAACGTCCCGGTCACAGCCCAGGGTAGAATGTGAATCTCAGGGGGGTGGGATTAAAATATGATTACCACCATTCTGGATCTTTTTCTAGGGCCACTGAAGCATATATATCTTATATTCATGCATCCGTCAAACATTTATGGAATATCCACTGTGTGCAAAGCACCGTTGAAGGCACTGGGGACCCAACAGTGAAAAAGCAGGTAAAAGTCTCTGCCCTCAGATTGTTTATGTTGTGGCAAAAGGGAGTTTCCCTTTATTACTGTATGTGCCCCCCCTTCACTGGCAATAAGGTTTCACTTCTTCGGGAGAGAGCTACTTCTCCCCGGCGGCTCTCAGTCTGCTAGTGGGGTGGGCACAAGACCCATCCTGGACCAATGAGGACCCTGGGCAAAGAGGCTCTCTTTTCCCTCCATGGTTGCTGAACTGGGAGAACCAAAGTTTGGAACTACTAGGGGCTGCCTTGTCATCCTCAGGGGAGGAAGAGAAAGAGAGCGAGAACGAGATTCCTTCAGAGTGAAGACAACATAGAGCCAAGCAAAGGAAAAAGATGCCTGACACCACCATTTGGGCACCTGGATCCAGCTATAACTGAACCCAACTGTGGAATTTCAATTATGTGAGATTATACGTTCTCGTTTTGGCGTAAGCCACCTTAGTTGACTGTCTCACAATCAAAACAGCCCCAAGGAAATAGCTGGAAAGAGCTGTAGTCGGAAATGACATACAGGATGGCCTCACATTGATGTTTTCTTCCTTCTTCCCTCCACCCCACTCTTTGACAAAATATTGGGCAGGCCTGAGTGGGGGAGGTGCCAGGAGGGCCAAGAGATGGATTACATTACAGGGGACTGAGAAAACACACAAATATGTAGTATTTTGTGGGATCCAGGTTTCTCACTGTCACACACACAAGAAGAGTCACAAATTTGCATGAGGAAAAGGTTACAATGAATTCTGTGATGCTGAGACAGAACTTGGCATATTGGTGTGAACTCACAGTTTTCAGTGTGTAGGGATATTTATAGAAATCAATATAGATATAAACGTGTGTATACAGGGGTGCCTGGCTGGCTCAGTCAGGGAAGCACGTGGCTCTTGATCTCAGGGTCGTGAGTTCGAGCCCCACATTGGGTACAGAGATGACTTAAGAAAAAAACGTGTGTGTATACGTACGTGAATACACGTCTATACGTATATGTATATATTCACTTGTGTGTGTATATACGCAGCTGTTTGCTGAGAGGTTTTAATACCACTGAGCACACCTAACACCCAGATCTTAGACTCTAAGCACCATTCCACTAAAAAGAACCAGGGCTCCTCGGAGAAATGGGTGAATCTATGTACCGTATTTCATCAAATATAAGCCTCCATCAATTGCAAAACGCTGTTACTTTATATACTATCAAGAAAGAAAAACTCGGGCGCCTGGGTGGCTCAGTTGGTTAAGCGACTGCCTTCGGCTCAGGTCATGATCCTGGAGTCCCGGGATCGAGTCCCGCATTGGGCTCCCTGCTCAGCAGGGAGTCTGTTTCTCCCTCTGACCCTCTTCCCTCTCGTGCTATCTCTCATTCTCTCTCTCTCAAATAAATAAATAAAATCTTTTAATAAAAAAAAAAAGAAAGAAAAACTCTTATCAACCTCTGACAGGTCATTGATTGTAAGCCACACCCCCAACTTCAGAGACGCTAAAGTGCGAGAAATAGACGTGTCTTAGATTTGATAAGATACGATATTTGCAGACATCACAGACATCACACACACACACACACACACACACACACACACACACACACACACACACAGAAACCATATTTCCTGTTTTCTGAGGACAGAGTAAGCCTCGGGCACCTCATTTTGTATTTCATTTTCCACCCATGTTGACCCTTCTCTACAGGGCCCATTCTCTGATTTTCCTAACAAGAAAACCTTTTGGTGGCCTGGGAAGCTAGGCATGGTCTCCCCACCCCGACATGACACCCTCAGCCCCAACAGCCTTCATTCCATCCCCTGCACCTTTCATGCCCCAATCTCCCACCAGGCCTTTGCACAAGCTGTTCTCTCCTCAGGATACCACTTATCCTTCAGAGCTCAATCACCACCTCATCCAGGGAGGCGTCCCTGACTTCACAGACCAGATTAAACCTCAGGGGATACTTACCACCCCTACAAATTCACTGGACATAACGAACTAGACATTCATTATGGTCGCTCAGTTGAATGTCTGTGCTCCCCCTTAGACTGTGAGACTAGGAATTGGCTGTGCTTTTCTCTCAAAAGTATCCCCAAAACCTGGCCCTTAGTACATGCTCAATAAAATTTAAGTCCCCTGAATTGAATGAATGAATTTTCCTAACAGAGCACTGAGCCTGGGAGGGAAAGCAACTTGCTCAAGGTCAGACAGCCAGTCTGAGGTGAGCCTGGTTCCAGCCAAGTTCAGTGGCCAGGCCTTTACCCCCTGCCGGAGTTGCCCCCCTCCCCAGGCCGGTCACTCACCCTCTTCTCATGGTTGGGAACGATACAGCGGACGAAGCTGGGGTTGGTGTTGCTGAGTGTGGCCATGAGGCGGCTCAGGGACTCCTTGTAGAGCTGTCCCACCGTTCGGAACATGCCCCGGCGGGGGCGGCCACCCGGTGGGCCATCCCCAAGGCTGCTCACCTGCTCCAGCCCCACGATGCCCTCCACTATGGGAAGAGGAAACAGATGCAGAGAAAGAAGGGGGTCAGGGGTCAGTTGTAGGTGGACTGGTTAAACTTCATTAAAGTTCAAGGGTCTTATCATTTCTAGGACCTGGCACTTTACATATGAAACACCGGTAAGGTAGGTGTTGTCAGGGCTGCTGGACTGATGTGTAAACTCAGAAAGGAAGCTCAGAGAGGTGGAAGACTGCACCTAAGGCCACACAGCTTAGAAATGCAGATCTACGATTTGAACCCAGGCAGGGTGAGTCCTCTGGAACCCTGGCCTCTGACCTCTCATCTTCTCCAGGATGCAAACTGCATCTCCATGTTCCTTATCCACAGGTGCTGATGACAACAGCACATGCTTACCTAGCACTTCCTCTCTGCCAGGCGCCATTCATTTATAAGCCTAGAAGAATTGTTCCCATTTTACAGGCACAGACAGGGTGCCAGGGATCATGAACGCAACACAGTGGCATTTTTAGGAACTTAAAACAATGTCCCACTAAAAAATGTAATAAAACCTGGCTTTTATGTGTAGTCTTTAAAAGAAGACAGATGGGGGATGCTCAGTCAGTTAACCGTCTGCTTTCGGCTCAGGTCATGATCCCAGGGTCCTGGGATCGAGTCCCACATCCAGCTCCTTGCTCAGCGGGGAGCCTGCTTCTCCCTCTGCCTGCAGCTCCCCCTGCTTGTGCGCTCTCTCTCTCTCTCTGACAAATAAACAAAATCTTAAAAAAAAAAAAAGAAGAAGAAGACAAATGTTTCCATTGAACCATTTTTCCAGTAAGGCCTGATCTTGTCATTTGATGGTGTCACTTCAGCTACTGAGAAATACCTACTCCTTCACCTCCAACTCTGTTCTAAATCCTGCCAGGTTTCTGCAGCTGGGGCAGACTCTGATGTCCTGCAGCCCTCAGCAGGGAGGGTCATCGGGGTCAGCCAGATCATCCTCACTTCCAGGCAGGGCCTGGCGTGCAGGGGAGGCTCACATACGCCCTCCTCCTCCCCAGGTTCGACGCTCCCTCTCACCGCCAGACTCCCGGCTATTATCAAAAGGATAATTAAGTTCTTACAGCCCCGAGAAGAGCAGAGGCTCTGGGACCCGATGTCCTGGGTTCAGATCTCAGTTCTGTCCCTTACTGGCTGTGTGACCTCAGGTAGGTGACGTAACCTCTCTGGGCTTCAATGTCGTCCTCTCTATAATGGGGATAGTAGGACTAACACCTGCCTCACTGGGTTGTTTGGAGAATTCTAGGGGTTAGTAATCGTAAATGGGCTTTGCACATAGTAAGTGCTCAGTAAACACCAGCTGGTATTATCGCGATGCTTGTAATTTTACATGCGGTTTAGTTAGAAGGCGTGTGCTGCTACGGAGAGTCTGGGAACTGCTGAGGGAGGCGCCAAAGAAGGGGAAGAAGGGCAAGAGTCCTCCATGTGGAGGAGAGGGGACAGATGTTCGAAGTCAGGTACCCAGTCTGACAGGCCCACCCACCTCGGCCGGCAAATCTCACCAGTCGATGCACAGCAACACCCACCCCCTGACGGAGAAATGGCAGAGCCTCGGCTCCCTGAAGATCCTGGGGGCGACGGTGGGAAGGAGCCAAGGAAAGAGAATTGCTGGAAACCCCCGTGTTCTTGCGGGGGGGGGGGTGAGGACAGATGAGTGGAGGGACAGAGAGATGGGGGTGGGAGATGCAAAGGGAACAGCAAGAGAAGGGAGAAGAGAGAGAAGGTGGCAGAAAAAAAAAAAGAGAACGTTATTAGTCAATAGCACAAGGCAAAGCGGGAGGGAAAACTTCCGTGTTGGCCTTGAACTTCTAAAGCCAGGGGGACTGTCCTGTTCACCTCTGTGTCTACCCACTGAGGGCATCAAAGTTGACTGAAAGGATGAATGTCCTTTGTGAGAATTTAATGCCAAGGGGAAAAAAATCTGTCTCCCTGGAGGTGGAATCTATCTGTTTGATTAGGTATCCCTTTTTGCCCTGGCTGCCAGGAAGCTCGAGGACTGACTCGATACTCCTACCCAGTTTGTTGCATTTGCCTCTCTGAGGAGAGCCTGTCTCATCTGCCTTTCTCCCTGGGCTACTGGGGAGATGCTGGGCACCCGACTCTGGGCTCAGGGCAGCTGTCGTAGACATTGATGCACAAACAGCCGCCATCCCCATCCCTCCCTGTGACTTGCAGCTCCTTGAATTTTGGCTGCTGTGACTTGCTTTGTTCAGGAGAATCGTGGAGGAAGTAACACTGTGCCAAGTTCAAGTCCAGGACTCAACAGGCTTCCCACTTCCACTTTGCTCTTGGAACCCCTCAGGGGCTGGGCACCTATGAGATGGGGCATGTGAGGGATCATGGCTGGGGGGGGGGTGTGATGTGTCCTTGAAGGGGACACATATTTTGAAGAAGTGTGTGTTGGGGTGGGGGAATTTTCAGGCTGAGGAGATGAGTCTCATAGCAGAATCTGATTCTGTTACTGGACATTGAACACTGCTTGTCAGTCCCTCGTGTATAAACCACGCAAGACACAAACATCAAATCTCTCTGTCTAAAATCAGCTCATCAGCATCAAGGCACCTCGTACCCTTTTGTTCCGTGAGTTCGTTTGGGAACCATGCGTCTTGCTTATTTTGTTTTCTTGTCTCGTTGCGTGGGCTGGGACTCACAACTACACTTTTCACTTCAAGAAAAAGGCTAAGGCAAACTGACAGATTCTGGAAGCCTTGAATCGGGAGAAACCAAGATGCTGGTTCCACTGGTTGTTAAAATCATCTCTCCTCTAAGGATAGGGAGGGGCAGACAAGGCTTGGAAAGCTCCAGGGTTCACTCCAAAGACATTCAGCTCTTCTGCCCATGCCTCCCAGAAATGCCATTCCAAAAAGACTGATGGCCAAATCCACATGGGCCTTGTTGGAGCAGGAAAGCTCTCCCAAATGACATGGAGATCTATTATTCCTTTCTTCTTCCCTGGGGGCCCTGACAGGAGCTTTGTGAGAGCCAAGAAAGCAAAGCCCCAAAGCCGACTAATCTTGAAGACACCACGCTGCTGAGTTCTCTTGTGATTAATTCTTTTTCCGTCAAATCTCTTGATTTTTTTCTTTTTTAGGGATCATATGCCATCTACAATGAATAACTTTCTCTCTTCCTTTTTAATATTCATATACTTATTTCTTTTTCCAGCCTGATTGCAGAGGCTAGTATTGCTAAAACCATGTTGCCCAGCAGTGGTGACCATGGGCATCCTCATCTTGTTTCTGATTAAGGAGGAATGTGTTTTGTCGTTGAGTATGATGCAGGCTTAAGATAATCAACCAACCAGTCAGTCAATCACTGATTGGAAACACTACCGTCTGGCCTGCCTGCATCAGTTACGCATCTGAGCAGACAACTCACGTTCAGAACTTAGCCTCTAGAACAAAGGTGTTCACACTGTGGGCTGGGAAAAGAGATGCACAGAGTTCCAGGGACAGGGAAGCTGGGGAAGCTGGCCCTCACCGTCTTTCCAGATCTCCGCCGTTAGCTTGTCCGTGCTCAGGTGAAGCAGGGCTGCCACGCTGTCATTCAGAGGGTCCATGTTTTTCATCAGCCACTCATTGGCCTTGTAGTCGACCTGGGTGAAGTCAGGCAAAGGAGGTGGTGAGTTTGCAGCTTCACCAGTTCTCCCAATTTCCCAAGGAACCTCCCAGAAGCTCTGGGACTGCCAGCTCCAGGGCTCATCACGGATGAGAGCGCATCGGTGCCACTTGGTGTCCGTTTGCAGAACTGCACCCTCCACCAGCCAGGCCCCGCTCCCTCTACTTCCCTTATCTGTCCTCTGACCACCCAGAGGACCTCATCCACCCTCACTTTTTCCTTATCCATTCTATTCCAGCCACACTGGGCTCCTTACTGTTCCTCAAACACACAAGCTCATTTCTACCTCAGGTTTACCCCTGCCATTCCCACCGCCTGTGATTCCCTCACCACAGATTTTCACACGGCTGGCTCCTTCCGAGTATTCAGGGCTTTGCTTTGAGGCTCCCAGAGTCACAGTCTTGACCAGCACAATCCCCCACACATGTGCTCCCCACCAGACAGTGGCTCCCTGAAGGCAAGGGCTCGGATCTGACTCATAGCACAGGGCTGGGCCCACGGGAGGTCTTAGACAAGGTGTGGAAGAGGGAGTGAGGGCTAGACACAGAGCACAGAGGTCTCCTGCCTCCCAGCCTCTGTATGCTGTTCCTTCTGCCTGAACAGCCCTTCCCATCCTTCACCCATCCTTTACTGGCTGTTACTCATCATTTGGGCCAGGGATTGGCAAACGATGGTCCACAGGCCAAATCCAGCCTGCCACCTTTTTGTAAATAAAGTTTTATTGGAATACAGCCTTCACTTATACAATCATTTATGTATTCCCCGGGGTGTCTTTCACACTACAATGGCAGAAGCAAGTAGCTATGGCCAGAGACAGGCTGAAACTATGTACAGAAGATGTTTGCTGACCCTTGATTTAAATTCCAGATCAAGCATGACTCTCCTCGGAAACTTCCCCTGGCATTCCTCCTCTGGGCTTTGATGCTACCCCCACTGAAGCATCTAGCAGCCTTCTATCCTCATGGTCTGTGTTTGTCCTTCTCCCAGATCAGGAACTTTGTGAGGACAGAAACCACGTCCGGCGTGGGGCCCCAGCTTTGCTCAGCACGGGGCTGAGCACACAAAAGGCACATCTTTGCCAAATGAGGGAATAAAATGCACATAATTCTCCTCACGGCAAAATCCTATCCACCCCTCCAAGCCTACTGGAAATATTCCCTCCTTGAGGAAGCTTTTGCTGACTTCATCAGACAGAGTCCTCGGTCCTCCTTGGGCTTCCCTGGCCCCTGTCAGTGTCTCGTTCCAGGGGACATTGGTGGGGGGGGGGCTGTGTTCCCTCTGCACTCTCCCTGCATCTGCAGCCAAGTGGTCCCCACCCCCCGCCCACAGGCCCCAGGGCCAGCCCAGCCACCTACCTTGCCCGCATAGTGCAGGACGCTGAAGTCAGCCTGGTCCCGCAGGTTCCTTGGCCGCTGGAACTTGGGGTGGCCTCCTTGCTCCTGGGCCACCTTCTCTACAAAGGACTTGTCCGTGGCCTTTGGGAACCAGCACTCCTCGTCCAGCAGGGCCAGGAGCCCAGGGGGGTTAGCCTAACCACCAACAGGAGGGGAAGAGTACGTCAGATCCCCACACACTGGACACTTAGGTTGCTGCTAACTTGTAGCTCTTGTAAGAGGCACACGGACATACAACAGAACACAGTTCTGGCTGTTGATGAGAGCTCTGGCTCAAGCCAGGCCCCGTGGCAGGCACATCCGGGGCCTACGCAACTATAAAGCAGATGCTGTCATGAACCAATTTAGAGGCCGGAGGCCCAGCAGGGCAGGAGTCGGACCGAGGTCTTGGATCTCATGGCTGGTGGAGGGGGGGGGGGGGGGGGGCGGCGCCAGGGGCAGGAGGACCCTCAGGCTCACCGGCCGCTCGATGAGGTCGATGCAGGGCTGCAGGTCGAGGCCAAAGTCGAGGAAGGTCCAGGGGATGCCCTCGCGCTGGTACTCCTCCTGCTCCAGGATGAACATGGTGTGGTTGAAGAGCTGCTGCAGTTTCTCGTTGGTGTAGTTGATGCAGAGCTGCTCGAAGGAGTTCAGCTGCAGGGGATGAAGGGACAAGTGAGAGACGGGACAGAGACGGGGGCGGGGCAGAGACTGCGCGGGCGGGGGAATGCAGACCAGGGTGGGTGGACAGACACCCAGAGGGAGGGAGACAGAGACCAGAGGGAGGGGGACAGGGCCAGAGTGACGGAGCCCTCCCAGCCCCAGCCTGGCACCAAGCGCAGACCTGGAAGATCTCAAAGCCGGCGATGTCCAGGATGCCCAGGAAGGAGGCGCCCTGGCGGGGACTGCGATCCAAGGCACGGTTGAGGCGCAGGACCAGCCAGCGGAAGAGGCGCTCGTAGGTGGCCTTGGCCAGGGCCTCCAGCGCAAAGTCAGCCTGCGGGGGGCGGGGGGGCACATGATGAGGGCCCAGCCCGCCCCCCAGCAAGGAGACACTGGTGTGGACGGGCACCCTCACAGCTCATTGATAATGATGACATTAATGATGATGCCAACCAGTTCAGAGCCCTACTACGCGCCAGGCAGCGTGTGAGGCACTTGGGGGCACGTTAGTTCATTCATCTTCCCCCCATCCCTTGAACTAATTTCGACAGCATAACAGTTAAGAAGGTGGACTCTGGAGCCTGACAACACGGGTTTGAATCCTGGCTCTGCCCCTCAGAAGCTCTGCGTCCTCAGGCATGTGACTAAACCTCTCTGGGCCTCAGTTTCTTCATCTGTAAAATGGGTCCTAACAATAGTACTTCAGCTGAGAGTGGAACCTGGCCTCTCATGTGACCCCCAATCTCTGACCCCCAATGGCCCCCACTGTGTCTTCTTCACCCTAGTACTTTGTTTGAGTGCCCAGCCTGGGGCCAGGCAGAGGCCTCTGCCCGAAAACTGGATTCTGAAAACCTCTAGCATGGGTTCACTTCTCCCCAGTCCCACCACCATCATCACTTTCCTGGACTATGACAGCAGCCTCCTTATGTCTCCCTGTTCCCACCCGTGCCCCTGGGATCCAATTCTCCATGCAGTGGACAAAGGGATCTTTATAAAAGACAAACCGAATCAGGTTGCTCCCCGGCTTAAACCCCCACTGGCCTCCTACTGCTCTCTGAATGAAACTCACCTCCTTTCTGTGGCTCCTAAGACCCTGCATGATCTGTCCCCTTCCGACCTCTCTGACTGCAGCTTCTGCCACCCTCTGCCCCACTCTCTAGCCTCACTGACCGCCTTAACAGTCGCAATTCACCAAGCCTGTTCCAGCCCCAGGGCTGTTCCCTCTGCCTTGAACCATCTGGGTCCAAACTCAAACATCACCTCCTCATGGAGAACTTTCCTGACCACATGAACCCCCTCCTTCACAGAAGGCCTCACTGCTTATGTATCTTCTTTTATGATCTGTTCCCTACTTCGGCCTGAGCTCCACCAAGGCATGGTCTTTGTTTCCATTACGACTTTTATTCCTAGCACCAGAACCTGAGCGGGCAATGGAGCGAACAATCAGCCAAAGTTTGTTGAGTGAGCGAAAAACCAGCATACACTGCTTGAAGGCCCAGGACCCTGGCGCCTGGCTCTCCGGGCACCCCGCCTGCCCCCCCCCAGCCCCACCCACCTGTTCCTTGGTCTGAGCCTTCTGCACGTAGTCTCGGCCAACTTTGATGCGGGGGCTGAGCAGGGCGCGGGAGAAGTCCGTCACCCCTAGTCCCAGGAGACGGCAGAGCTTCTGTGCAGCTGAGGGTGAGAGGCACAAAGGTCTGATCAGCCCCAGGAGGCGGCAGCGGCCACTGAGCGCAGTGGAGGGGGTAGCCCCCACTGCTGGTGGAACAGACGAGGGGCCCAGCCTCTCCCACTAGCAAGCATTACAATCCTAAAAGCATGTACGTCCTCTGGCCCAATAATTCTCTCTCAGGGACACCAAGATGGGATAAGTAATCCCAGAGGTGAGCAAAGACTGGACCAGGAGGATGTACATCACAGCCTTGTAGGTGATAGAGGAAAACAGGAAACAAGCTGAATGCCCAGCAACTGGGGATTGGTCAGGGAGTCAGGGATCCTCCATTTGAATACGTGTTCTGCAGTCACTGAAAATTATTAGCACTCATTACACGGTACACTTAATATGTGTGCATTTCACCATTTGTATGTTTCACTCCAAAGAAAGAATTGTAAGCAAATACCGGACACCAGTAGGTGATATGCATATGCGAGTTGATGCACGTACATGTGAACTACTCATGTACACGCTGAAGTGCATGGAATCTTCAACTTTGAAATGCACCAGACAACAGGATGGACGAACGATGTATGGAAAGATACACAATAAAGCAAGTGTAGAAAATGTCAATGGTAGAATCTAGGTGGTGGATATCTGGGTGTTTGCTATAAAATTCTTTCAACTTTTCTGTATGCTTGGACAATTGCTAATAAAATATTGGAGGAAAAGCTATTGGAGTAAAAACCCATGGAACTGGCCAATAAATAAATATTTAAAAGCAACTTGCTCTTCTCTATTTTTGTAGAGAAAAAAATTCATAAAAAATGGTAATTAAGAAATGTTTTCCAGCTTCTGTCACTTCCGTAATGGGAAAACCATTACTACAAATTCTTAGCACCAGCAGAAAAGAGAAAGGAAAAGAACACATCTAGAAGGAAAAACACCAAATAAACAGTGATTCTTTCTGAAAGGTGAGCTGACGAGCATTTACATTTTTTTGTTTGTTTGTGTTTTTGGTGCAGTCGTAGTTTCTAATTCTTCTATGGTGACTTTGCATGGTACGGAAAGTGATTAAGAATTATAACAAGTGGCCTGAAGAACAGCAGGGAATGTGTACTGGGGCACTATGCTGTGAGTCACAGGAATGTTCTGGAGGGTTCTAAAGCCTCTGCTGTGTCCTTTGGCCCATGGACTGGTTCTCCAATGAACGTTTGCAAATGCAGAGAATGAAACACCCAGGATTTCCCAGGAGATTAATTATGCTGACATATGGTTCTACCCACAGACCCCAGAGGAAGAAACCCCAGTAGCGTTCTAGTTAATAACCTTGAAACGTTACCCTCAGTGCATTAAGGGAAAAAAAGCAAATTTCAAAATGGTCTACAAGGTCTGACCCCAATTTTGTAGATTGAATGAATAAATGAGGTGCACAGCACACTTGCTCGGTGTGTGAATAGAGCCCCCAAGCGCCACAGGTGATACCGCTGATGGACAGTGTGGTGGGAGGGGGCCCTTTTCTCATATTTTCTGTAGTTGTGTAGTTTTGGAAAATGACCCCATAGGATTTTATAATCAGGATGGAAAGCTCTTGCTGTCTTGAGGGGGAAAGGGTGCGAAGCATGTTTCCACTTCTATGACAATTATTTCTGCACTGATGTGGACAGAGGACAAAGCCCAGAGAGAAATACCCCAAAATGTTGTAGTAATTACCTCTCAGGAGTATGACTGTGGGTCATTTCCCTGCTTTTATAGTTTTCTGTATTGCCAGATTTCCCCCCATCCAACTTGTATTATTTTATGATCATAAAGAAGCAGAGCTATTTCCATTTTGATAAAAAAGGAATATCAACTATAATTCTGCTTTTGAAAAGCAAAAAAATAGTGTATATATATATGTATATATATGCAGAGCACAAAGGCCAGGAAGAGAAAAGCCCAATGCTAATGGTTTTCTCAGAGGGGCCGGGATGACGGGGGATCTCCGGCACACTGGTGTTGTTCAAACCTTCGGCAGAGAGGACACCTTTTTGAATCAGGAAAAGAGTGGGAGATGACATTTCGGTAAAGGATCAGCACAGCTTGGAGGCATGCCCGGCTGGGGAGTGGGGAATGGCGGTGATGCTCTGTCTGGGGGAACAGGGAACATTGGGTCTGGCGGGTGGGCTGTAGGCCAGGTGGAGCACCTGTGTTGTCAGGCATGGAGGCTTGATCGTTGTTCCGTTCTCTCTTCAGGACGATGTTGCCAAACTGAAGAACGGCTGAGACTATCCGTAGCATGGCTAAGGGGCAGAGAGAGAACAATCACATAGGGCTCCAGACCCTGATGTGTGGTCCTAACTGGCCTTTTAAAAATCTATCTGAAGGGGCGCCTGGGTGGCTCAGTTGGTTGGGCGACTGCCTTCGGCTCAGGTCATGATCCTGGAGTCCCGGGATCGAGTCCCACATCAGGGTCCCTGCTCAGCAGGGAGTCTGCTTCTCCCTCTGACCCTCTTCCCTCTCCTGTTCTCTATCTCTCATTCTCCCTCTCTCAAATAAATAAAATCTTTAAAAAAAAAATTAAAAAAAAATAAAAATCTATCTGAAAAACCCTATGTCAGGGGCTTCTGGGTGGCTCAGTTGGTTAAGTGTTGGACTCTTGATTTCAGCTCAGGTCAAGATCTCAAGGTCATGGGATCAAGCTCCGAGTTGGGCTCCACCCTCAGCACGGAGTTCACTTGAGAATCTCTCTCTCTCTCTCTCTCTCTGCCCCTCCCCACCCCACCCCACCCCGCTTGCGTGCACACATGCTCTCTCTCCCCAATAAATAAATAAATAAAATCTTAAAAAAAACAAAACAAAACCCAACTCTGTGTCAAATTACACCACCCCTCAGCTTAAAATCCATCTGTGACACTGGGCAGGTCCTAAAACATAAGAACGGATACATGAATTCTGTATTTTATATTCAAGGTTTGTTTTAGCACCATTTGGTGTCTGCTTATGTCCGTTTTATAAAGCAATGCATGTAAGATTTAAAAGGACACATGGGAATGAACGAAGAAAGTCTTGGGCAATATGAAAAGATTTCCTTTTTTAAGATTTTATTTTTAAGTAATCTCTACACCCAACGTGGGGCTCAAACTTATAGCCCCAAGAAAAGAGTTGCACGCTCTACAGACTGAGCCAGCCAGGTGCCCTAAATATGAAAAGATTTCTAAACTATCAAGTGAAAAATGTGAGGTGCAGAGTGGTATATACAGCATACCACTGTCTACATTTTAAAAAGGCAAAAAATATACAGTCGATTCTCCTTATTGCCGAGTTATGTTCTTTGTAGTCACCGTGAACACAAATTAGCAAATGCAATCGAATGCGCTTATGGGAAATACAGGGTTTTGTTCCTGTGAGCCTCTGGTCATAATTTCATCAACTGATCAGTAACATCACCTTGTTTTGTATGTGTTTCTGTTCAAAGATGCCTTCTCTAACATATAATGTTGCTTTGTTAACATTGACCTCACAGCCAACAGCTAACTCGAGCCTGAAGGAAGCTCATCAGATTTATGTGTTTTCTCTGTGAGACACACTACAGCCTTCTTGCCTTCTTGCATTTGGGGATGTTGGCCAGCATTAAGCACTTTGCTTGGGGGGCATTTTAGACAGTGAAGCCATCAACAAGAAAAGCACAAGAAACGTGAAAAACGTGGCACTCAGCAGAGTGCAGGCGAAAAGGAGAAAAGGACTCTGGGTTACGGTATGAGCTGAGACAGGAAGGCAGAGTACCGCCTTGCTGAACTTCAGCTGTGTGTGCGCTGGACAACTCAAGCTTTCCACCCCTGTGTGAATGACACGATGATCTTTACAAAAGCACCAGGAGTGCTGCTTTGGGGGGTTATGGATAAATTTAGCAAGTAGGCGAAGTCGCAAATGCAGAAACCACAAAAGAGGAGGGACTGTAAGCGCAGGCTAGCCCAGAGCTTCCAGAAAGTTCCTCGTGAATGGACAGTCAGTGCTGCCCCCTAGAGTACATCTCAGGAACTCCCAGGGGTTGGTTGGCATAACAATGGAGGCCATGGGGGCAATCTGTGGGGTGTTTCTGGGTATCACAGGGCCTGCGCAGGTTGGGACCCAGACGGGGCCCAGGGCAGGTCCCTCCACGCTACACAGAAGTGCCCATACCCCGTGTGACTCCTAAATGTCCCACTAGACATCTGTCTGTGAAATAATGTATTGTAATTATCTGAGTCCAATCCCAACTGTTTTATGTATAAACACAAGTGTTTTGTGTTTGGTTTTAATACACAGTGGATTTTTGGGGATGCCTGGGTGGCTCAGTCGGTTAAGCCTCCGACTCTTGGTTTCCGCTCAGGTCATAAGCTCAGGGTGGTGAGCTCGAGCCCCACGTTGGGCTCCGCACTCAGCACAGAGTCTGCTTGGGATTCTCTCCCCCCACCCCCGCTCAATAACTCTTTCTCTCTCTCAAATAAGTAAATAAATAAAATCTTTTTAAAAAAATACACAGTGGATTTTCCAGGAGGGTAGCCACTGTGCAATCTGAGGAAAGACTGTGGTTGGTTTTGTTCAGAATGTTATCAAGATTTGGGCATCATCTCAGAACTCTGTCATCTCTGACAGCAAAGGGGCCCGTGGCATTTGAGTGGACCACATAACACGCCTGCCTCAGGCTGGGTCTGTATCTGCTGCTCTCACTGCGACCCTACAGATCAGTGCGCGTGCCCAGCTACCCCATCAACGACGCATTCCAGAACAGTTTTTGTGACTTACAGGTTCAAATGGACACTGACTTTTCACTCACTACATGCCAGGTCCTGTTCCAAACACGTACAAATGAACTCATTTAACCTTCATAACAACTCAGGGAGGCAGATTCTACGATAACATTTTACAGGTTTGGAATGGAGTAAAACCCCTTCACAGATGGGAAAATTAAGGCACATTCCAGGAGCCAACTTGCCCAAGATCATCCAGCTCATCCGCAGCAGAGCTGAGGTGCAAACTCCAGGGTCTGACTCCAGGGTCTACATCCTTTACAGCAGTGCTTCTCTTTCCTCCCTCTTCCAGCATAAAATTCTAATGTAAATGCGAACGTATAGCCCACATACAGAAAAGCGCACAAATCACACCCGTCAGGCTCGATGAGTTTTTACAGAGTGGATGCACCTGTGGAGCCAGCCCCTCAGAAGCCCTCTCCCCTGGGATTCCTGGGTGGCTCAGTCGGTTAAGTGTCTGCCTTCGGCTCAGCTCATGATCCCGGGATCCAGGGATTGAGCCCCAAACGGGGCTCGCCGCTCAGCGGGGAGCCTGCTTCTCCCTCTCCCTCTGCCTGCAGCTCCCCCTGCTTGTGCTCTCTCTCTCTCTGACAAATAAATAAAATCAAAAAAAAAAAAAAAAAAAAAAAGAAGCCCCCTCCCAGCCACTCACTGAACATAGACAAATTGCACAGTCATGGAAGAAGCCGAACACGAAAGCACACGTGCTGAATTCGTAACAAATTCGGGGACAAGTAAAACAACTCTAGCTCTTAGAAGCCAGAATAATGATCACACTCAGGGGTGGGGCGGGGGGGGGGGGGCAGCAGTTCTGGTGACGGGAAGGGATACCAGGGGGCTTCTAGATGCTGGTTATATAGGCTGTTCACTTGCAGAAAGCCCCTGAACTGGATGCATAGGCTCCAGGCGCATTTTTTGGTGTCTACGCTCCTACACTGTTTACTTAGAAAAGAGGGAGGGGAAGGGGGAGGGGGAGGGGGAGGGGAGGGAGAAGCACCTTCCTGGGAGACTCCTGCCAAAAATGCGTAACCTGAATCTAACCGCAAGGAAACACACCCAAGCGGAGACAAAGCAACTAGTCTGTAATCTTCAGAAGTGTCAAGGTCACCAACGATAAAGGAAGAATAGTTCCAGATACACCGAGAATAAAATGCGCTAGGTACGCGTCATCCTGGCCCCTGGGAAATGTGTGCGCGCGCGTACGCATGCGTGCGTGTATGTGTGCGTGCGCCCCTGTGTGTGTCACTTACAAAATCTTTTTTGCTCTAAAGTACGTTGTTAGGAAAACTGGCATAAAGCCTGTAAAAAAACATTTTTGTGTGCTATAAAGGACACCGCTGGGACAATATGGTCTGTGAACGAGAGTACAGTGCTAGCAGTGCCGATGCTAAGCTCCTGGTGATGGTACCGTCCTGCGGTTGCTTAAGAGAACATTCTTTTAAAAAAAATATGCAGATGGGGGGCGCCTGGGTGGCTCAGTCGGTTGAGCGTCGGACTCTTGATTTCCGTGCAGGTTTTGAGCTCACGGTTGTGGGTTCGAGACCCGCGTTCGGCAGGCAGCCTACTTAAAAAAAAAAAAGGCACTGACAGATTCCGGAAGGGTGGTAGGCTGAACAATGCTCCCCCCCCCCCGCCACAGAGGTCCACAACCGAATTCCTGGACCCTGAGAATGTTACCTGGCAGAGCAAAATGGACTTCACGGATGTGATTAAGAATGCTGAGATGGGAGATTGATGAGCTCTGGCTCTAGCTGCAGGGTCCTCATAAGAGGGAGGCCAAGGGAGAAGGCCACATGAGCAGAGGTTAGAGTGATGTGCTTCGAAGCCGGAGAAAACAAGAAAACAGATTCTCTCCTTGAGCCTCTGGAAAGAACCCATTCTGCCCGTGAGACTGATTTTGGACTCCCGACCTCCAGCACTGTAAGAGGATCAGTGGGTGTTGATTTAGTGGTGGTCGTTTGTGACCAGTCACAGGAAGCTAATATAAAGAGTAAAGGGGAGTCTCGTGCAAGTTTCCCCAGTACACCTGGGCCTCCGTCCCCTCCTCGGCTTGTTCCTTCCACCTCGCCGGACCATCACCCGCCCCCAGCCTAGAGTCTGCCAGGGTGCGGCTGCATGCCCCTCCACACTCCTGTTCTCAAACGGCTCAGAATAAGTAATTAGGAAGACCGACAAGAAGCAAATGTGGCAAGATGTTAGCTCCCAGGGAATCTTCGAGAAGAGCGTGGCAATGTTCCGTACCCTTTTTGTAACTTTTCTGTAAAGCTGAAATTATTCCAAATAAAAAGGTTTTTTGAACAAACCCTGAAAACAGAAGGAGGGTCACTGGTCTGACGGCTTCAAGACGCCTTGCTCGGAAGGACACACGGGAAAACCGTGGACAGAGGTAGCTTCCTGGGAGCCCAGGACACGTTAGTGATTATATTCTTTTTGAGTTTCATACCTGTTGAAATGTCAGATCTTGTCCAGAAAAAAAAAAAAAAGGCTGTTAAGAAAGGACTTGGTGTCTG